CCTTTCCCCTTCCATCACCCCCTCATCCCTTCCTTTCCCCTTCCAGGACCTTCCCCCCCCTCTCCCCTTCCAGGACCCACCGTCGCGCAGGCAGCCGATGCGGTACATGATGGGCATCCTGATGACGAAGGCGAACAGGTCGTCGATGAAGGTGTTGAGGGCTTTGTAGCTCAGCATCCGCCAGGGCAGGTGGGCCACGGACTGCAGCTTGTAATTAATGAACAGCTGCGGCGTCATGGTGATGAACCCTGCGGGCCGTAATTAGCGGCGGTGATTAATTAATCGGTTAATAGAGGGGGGGTGGGGCTGGTTTTTGGGGTTTGGTGCCACGTTTTTGGGGTGTGTTGGGGCTTTGTGGGGTGGCTGAGCTCATTGTCCCTATGGGCTGTTCCTGTTTAGACCCAGTGTGACCCCCCCCAATAAATACAGGGCACTAATTAGCGTCATTAATTAATTAGCGGCTAATAGAAGGGCTCGTTTTGGGGTCAGACGCCACTTTTTGGGGTGTGTTGGTGCTTTGTGGGGTGGCTGAGCTCATTGCCCCTATAGGCTGCTCCCATTTAGGCTCTGTGACCCCCCCCCCCAATAAACCCAGGGCACTAATTAGCATCATTAATTAATTAATCGGCTAATAGAGGGGCTCATTTTGGGGTCACATGCCACGTTTTGGGGTGGGGGTGTTGTATTATGGGATGGCTGAGCTGCTTGCCCATATAGGCTGCCCCCATAGAGGCTCTGTGACCCCCCCCCCCCAATAAACACAGGGCACTAATTAGCGTCATTAATTAATTAATCGGCTAATAGAAGGGCTCATTTTGGGGTCACACGCCATGTTTTAGGGTGGGGGTGTTGCTTTGTGGGGTGGCTGAGCCCATTGTCCCTATAGGCTGCTCCCATTTAGGCTCTGTGAACCCCCCCCAATAAACACAGAGGACTAATTAGAATCATTAATTAATTAATCAGCTAACAGAAGGGCTCATTTTGGGGTCAGACGCCACTTTTTGGGGTGTGTTGGTGCTTTGTGGGGTGGCTGAGCTCATTGACCCTATAGGCTGCTCCCATTTAGGCTCTGTGACGCCCCCCCCAATAAACACAGGGCACTAATTAGCATAATTAATTAATTGATCAGCTAATAGAGGGGCTCATTTTGGGGTCACATGCCACGTTTTGGGGTGGGGGTGTTGTATTATAGGATGGCTGAGCCCATTGCCCCTATAGGCTGCTCCCAT